CTAGATTAACTTTACATTCAGTAAAACAACATTTTTATACTTAGTTTTTCATACTGACTAAGAATCTGAGATCATATTTGTGATTCGGATGAAAATGAAGTTTTTACTATTCTAATCATGGGTCAGCATGGTTAGAAAGAGTCATCACCTACAAATATTGGTAACATTAACAAATTCTTTTTCGTCGAGGTTTTAGTCTATTGAAGTAATATTTTATATGATACAGAATTTCAAGTGCTTTCAGAAAATATATGAATTATTTTTGGATAGCATGATCCGCCATGGCTCAAGTCAAAATATTAGAAAATTTTCATTTTAATCAATGGGCATTCTTTACCCGTATATTAGGATTATCACTTGGTGAATAGTATTGTAGAACATATCGAATTATTCAATTTTGTAGAGAAAACATTTCTACATCTTTTGAGACGTTTCCAAACTCGAACGAATGTTTAGATGCAGAGAAAAATGCAAAATACAAAGAGCACTGAAAAAATCGCCATTTTTTAATCAAGTGCCGAAGACTGTGTCACTTGTATACTGTGGGATTTTTTACAAGCAAGTCCAAGAGCTAATATTTTGGATTTAGAGATGTCGAATGATAATCTATCGTTTAAGATACCTAAATCGAGAATCAAAATTTTAGCGACAGTTGAGTTGCTAAGTGGTCTCGAGGGCCCTCTCTTAATAGCTATTCTCTGATTTGCTTATATGTCATACTCATTTTCAAGCTTAGCTATATATTTAAATATTTCTTTTCCTTGTTGCAATCCAATAAGTTTTTTGTTCTTATCTAAAGAGAAAAAAACCAAATCTATGATCTACCCTTTGCTTAATCTTTGCTTATTTAAAATATTGTTCATCATTTTCTATGTATTGTTCATCTACAAATCATAAGTAATGATCTTCTATTGTTTTAATCTTATTTTTGTATTTCATTTAACTAGTGAATCACCAAGAAATTTTAATTTTTTTTTATGCCAGATTTATCCTCTCTATATTCATCATTATCATCACCATCAAGTTCAATTATTCGTGAAACTCATTTATTTACAACACGTACATTTACCAAAGTAAATTTATTAGGTGGTTCATTTAATGTCAAACTTTATCATAATACAAATGTAAACAATAGTTATACATCAGTTGATGTTGAAACTGAATAATTAATACATAAATTAATATCAATTGATATTGAACAAAATGATACACTTACAATACGTATGATAGAAAATTTAAATATATCTAATAAAACAAATATAACATTATTTATTATATATCAACAATTAAATGAATTTTCTATTGATGGTAAGATTAATATTCAATGTGTAAATTTAATACAACCAAATCTATTTCATTTATATCATCGTGATAGTGGTTTAATAAAATTAAAATTAACTGTTGATAAACTTAATGCTTATCTACATTCAATTGGTCGTGTTAAATTATGTCGACATGTTAATGATGAAGTTACATTAAAATCTATAAGAGCTGGTGATGTTGAATGTCGAAATTGTTAACAACAAAACTTCATATTATATCAAGTGCAATTCTAAATATTTATATAACAGCTATTGATGAAATAAATATAGTATTAAGTGGAATTGGTAGTGTTTATTATTCAGATCCATTAAAAACAACAAATTAATATAGGTTTAGGATGTGTTTTAGAAATACCCAATGGATTATCTTCAAATAATTAATAATTAATTGATACAGATTTAAATTAAAAATAGTTTTTCTTTTTCTTTTTGTTATAATTATTTATTTCTATTCAAACAGTTTCAATAAAAGAAAAAACGTAATTCTTTTTTCTTTTGTTTTATACTCTTATCAATTGACCTATTCATGTTTTATAAAAATCATTATTTTTTGGCATGCAAGCTGTTTCTATATATATTTGTATGGAGGGATGTGTTACTAGCATCGACATATAGATATCTCTGACTACATGTAAGAAAATGATCTAGCTCGTCAAAAAATAAGAAAAAGAAAAAAAGAAGAAGAATCGAATCCATTGCGACGGAAAATGTCGCGCAAACGCACACAATACAACCAACATCTGGCTATGTTCTTGAGACGACGACGCTGATAGATGCGATCATAATGACGAGTGAGAAAAAGAAGAGAGAGAATAAGAATAAGAAGAAAGAGAGAAGAAACTCCGGACTCTCTTCTTTGCCGTTGCCATCCCGCTGAGGCCAGGGATCGTATATTTGTTCTTCTCTTGCACACACATAAACACACAGAAACGACTCAACTATGTTACTGAGAATGCCGCCGGCAAATGCGCATTCTAACTTATATTTGTCTCTTCATTCATCTCAAATGGCAATATATGATGATGATAATAATCACTATCATCATGATAATGTCATTTTCCTTATATGACGAATGATTGTTTTCAAAACAGATACATTTCATTATCAAACTATTCGAAAATACAAAAAAAAATACAAACGAAATCGATACTACCATCATTCGATTAATAATAAATTCATATGCATCGAACACATTCATCCGTACCTTATGATATTTTACATGGCATTGATTTCCCTCCTAATGTATCATCAATATTTGCTTATCTAAGCTATTTTCCACCACCACCACCAGTTATACCAGCTCCACCACCACAACGTTCTTGGACATGTTCTGTTCGTTCTTTATCATCATCATCATGTTTAGTCGCTGATGATCTTAATCCTCCAAGTCTACGAAAATATATTCCATTGATTAATAATAATCAATCATTCTTATCCAAAAATACATCTCATACTTATAAAAATGTAGATCAAAACTTTAAATCTTCATCTATCTTAGGTTTTTTTCAAAATCAATTACCATTCATTGTTTTATTAATTATTTTCTTAAGTATATTTATTTTTGTTATAATATTATTAGCAGTATTTCTTTGTATGCAACGTAAACGACAAAGACAATTAACATCAAGTAGTCATATTGAAACAAATAATAACAATAATAATAAATTTTATCAACGTTTAATACCTCATCGTAAAAAATATTCAAAACCAACAACAACAACATTAAATACGAATGTTGAAAATAATTTATTAAATTTAACAAATCATGAGTCACCTACTGTTGAAGCTGTATTTGTACCCAAAACAAGTGGAACACATATAAATGATAATGAAGAACAAGAAGAAACTGTTTAATTTTTTTTTTTTCTTCCTATTTTTTTTCTCTGTAAATGTTCATTTCTTTTCTTTTTACTCAGGAAAGAAAAAATACAAATAAGTATTAGACAAAATTTTATTTTCTCTTTTAAACATAGATAAATTTAAAACAGAGAAGAAAAAAAAAAGAGCACATAACAATCATTTTCGAATACAAATCATAAGAATCGTTGTTGCATCACAATCATAAGATTTTAATGTTCGTTTATCATCAAGTTGATCAAAATAATTACCAGATTTTGTTAATGTTATATGATTTGGATTAAGATTTTCTTGTTTACCAAAAATTTGTTTTAATTCATATATTGTCTTATCTAATGATATTCGACATTTATATTCTTGATTAAGAAATGTTCGTAATGTTATATAGATTTGTCTATTAAATAAAAAGCAAAGGTTGATAATAAGATTGTTTTGTTTTTTTGAATAGAAATACTCACTCAGATGGAATAGATAATTTAGTTTGTTGATTAGATTTATCATCATTTGTATTGGTGATATTTAATTGAATATTATTACACATTTTATTAATTTGATCAAGTCGATCTTGATCATATTGTAAAGATATTTCAATGGACTTAAATTAAAAATAAAAAAAAAATAAAAATATTTTACAGATATAAACAGTAAGTAGAGTAAAAATTCTTCATTAATTTTGTTTCTTTTTTTTCTTATCCAAAATTATAATACAATATTGTAAAGACTTGATTCCTTTTTTTTTTTTCGTTAGAAAGAGTACAACATTTAGTGCATATATATATATATCAGAAGACTTTAATGGGCAATGCTTTCTAATGGTTAAAAACATCTTAGAACAAAATATATCATTAAAATCTTCCATAATTTCTTGTATCCAAACAGATTTGTTTGACAATTCTCATTATCGACTTTTGATATTTCCAGCAGTATCTATATATATAACTATACATGACAAAAATGGCTTTCGTGTAATAGTAAAATAATTACTCTAATGTATAGTATAATTTATTTATTTTTACTAGTTTTCTTCAATTACTCTATCGAGCTATATATAGTTTTAATTTGATTGATTTCGTATCTTGATCAAAATTTTAATACAGAAAGTATTGAATGAAAACGTTTTGAATTTAAATGAGAAAATTTAATTTCCCTATTGAAGTTTTAGGCAATCATGTACTAATGAAAAAAAAACCAAGGCTTTTAGTGCTATTTGCATAATCCAAAATTGATCTATAAAAGCTCAGTTAAATTAGACTAAAATTATATGAATCGATAGATAAATCAACACGCTATTCAACCATATAAAGATAAAAAAACTTCTGAAATTTTGCAGAAATATAGTAAATTGAAGAAAACTGATAGCAATAAGTAAATCATGTTGTACAAGAGACAAAACAACAGATAGTTTAATTAAAAATTTAATTTAGTGTTTATCACGTAAAAATAAAGTTTTGTCTGAATAACTTTCCGAAAATTTGTATCCTATTCCAAATACTACTATTGAGTAGGAGGGTTCGATAAGCATCGTTTTCAATATACTATGTAAATCTTCTAACAATTTCTCATTTGAAATAGAATTTAGTTATTTGACTATGATCACTATTTACGAAAATCCAGTGATACCAGAAATTGCTATAATATAGTTCTTATCTGCTATTGTAAACCGCATAGAATATTTCTCTTTCTTTTTAGTAGAGTAATAACTCCTTATTTTTATGTTATGAAACTTGGATAGGAATGTGCAATTTTGATGTAAATACCGGCAATGAGTCATTGACGCAAAGTCAGCGACGATACTGATTACCTTGATGTCCGTGTTCACTGCAACATGAAGAATCAAGCTATACCATTTTTGTAATGGTGAACGTTAACTACACTCAGTCGGTGATATCGATGATGAGTAAACTGAAGCTGCACATCTCTTAATTTGGAAAAAGCTTTTTTCTTGACTGAAGTTCTTTTTCTAAATTCAAAAATATTGCGACAGATTTTTATGATACGTTTTATTCTAAGATTTTTTTCTAAACTTCAGAAAATATTTCCAATCAAATTATGTTATGATTTTTTGCATTAGATATTTTACTCTTTCTAACAAAAAAGAATCAAGTCTCTACAATATTTCTTTTTAAAGCCATAAACAAAATTAATGCAAAAATTTTTGACTCATCTGTTAATTTTGTTTTTCCGATTTTATTATATACATTTAAATATGTTCGATGTTCGACAAGTTTATCAGCTAGACGAGATTGAATATCAGACACTTTTGTTAATAAATTGATTAATTCAGGTTCATTTTTACTAAAAATAATTTTTCTGAGTAAATGAAAATTATTCTTATAAAAAAAAATTAGATAATTAACCTTTCGAGATGATAATTTTTTCCAATTAATTCAAGTTTAGATTGTTCAAGAGGTTGAAGATCATTTTCAACATGTCTAAGAAAAACAAAATAAATATTAACAATTATATTAATAGTTGACTTTGTAATATGCTGATTTACGAAAGATGTAGCAAATTTTAGTTTATCCTTCAATAGTAACAACAAAATTTCTACAATGTAATTCAAAAAATCACATAGTATTTATTTACACAAATTAACTGGACAAATATTATTCAAAACTAACATCGGTTCTTTCTTTTTTTTTTTTTTATTAAATCATTCGATATGAAAACAAATATTAGTTAAATCTAACAATTTAGATATCGAAAGAATTTTGTTTAATGCTTTTATTTATAATATTAAATTTAAATATTTGAATCAAATAGAATAGTATTGAAATTCTACTAAGAGTTCATTTCTCAAGATAACATTTTGACAATGATATTCTACGTATGCGAAAAAGAAAATTAATCAATTTATTTTTATGAATAGTAGAGTGTTTCAATATTAGCTTATGCAAGTGACTTCAGAGACATACTACTATAGTCTGAACAATTAAAAGTACGCCTTAAAATTTGATTTTTTTCTAAAATGTTTTAATTTCATGATGATGTGTTCTCTTGTTTTTTTATATAGTGTAGACTCATATGAATGGGTCATATATTTATCATTATAATGTTCTAGTGGTCCTCTATCTATATTGTATATCTTAGACTTTTATCGTTTGATATATGTGTATATATAATTTCAAGTGTAGTCATTTTCACATACAATTACAAGTTTGATTTTCATTTGTACATCCAATATTTGTTTAACATATTTATGATATGGTACGTATACAGGACATTACGTACTAACATATTCCGGGATAACTTTTTATATCATGCTTCCTTTCTTGTATTATGACAGATAGACCTCACTTGTTGGTATAAAAACCATAGCCACTATACCAACAAGTAAACTCTATACACACATACCAGACGATAAAAGCCTAATATATATAGTATAGATAGAGGACTACTAGAACATTATAATGATAAATATATGATTCATTCATATCAGCCTGTACTATATAAAAAACAAGAGAACACATCATCATAAAATTAAAAAAATTTACAAAAAAAATCAAATTTTAAGACATACTTTTAATCATTCGGACTATAGAAGAAGAATTATTATGAATAAACTATTATAAATATTTTTTCATAGACAAGTTCGTGTCCGAAGACTTTGAACTTGACTAGCTTTAATAATCAGTAAAACTTAACTGCATGGATTTCTTATACTATTTTTCAGATCACTAGTTTATAAAAATAGAAAACTTATTGAGGTTTATTGAGAACCTTGAATCTATTTTTCAATAGTATAACATATTCAATTATATAGATTAAAAACCATATTTCTACATAGAAACTATAGTATTTTCTTCATTCTCTCTATTTGGCATTGACATGTATCGCAGGACCTCCTAGCAGAATCCTGAATGTTACTAGTAAAAGATGATTATTATAATGTTTTGAATACACATTGGGATACATGTGGGCTTCTCATAGAAAATTTTCTCTATTCAAGGGTATATTTACTATTAAATTTTGATTTGTAGATGGGATTGAATTAGATTTGACCTGGTTCTACACGAGTTTGATATTAATTTACTATTTCACAATTCAAATTGCACAGAATCAAGCTAAATCTAATCATATTCCGTCTACACAATAGACTTTAATCATAAATGTATCATTGAAGAGAAGAAATCTTCTTTTAAAAATCGGCCTATATCTCGTGATATAGTCAAAAATCAAATAAAATTTATAAACGCCTTTATTTTGGATACTTATAATAACGGTTGGTCGAAAGGTAGTTTGACAAAATTTTTTGTAGAGCTTCTGGCCTAAGATGTTATAAGCTGACCTTTTAGAGATCCATAAATTAAGTATGGATGAATTTTACAGCGCTAAAAATTACCCAACATAGAAGCGGAAATTATTTGAAATACAGCGTATGAAAGAGCAAACATTTCTCTATAAAATAATATATTAATAAATAGTTTATTGGAAGTCACTTGTCAACAATGAATATTTTGGTAAGGAACATCGTATCAATTTAGGCAATTTTCTCAACTTCGATAAAAAACATCTTGGCCATTTCTGAATAATTGTTCTGAAACTTTTGATTATTATATCACTTTGTAGAGAACAATCTCGCTTTTAATTCTTTGCCAAGAAAAAAACGTCAGTTTTCTCCGTCCAAACTTAATTTTCGTGCCTATAAAAGATCGGATTATAACATCTTAGATCAGAAGTTCTATAAAAATTTTCAAACCATATTCGGAAAGAATACAAAATTCTTATTCTGACCCACTGTTTTTAAATTTCTACAGACTCCTTTAAGAAGCTGAAAAATGAATAAAAATTTTATCAAAATACTTCTCAATCATTCGTTATTAGACATCAATTTTTGTATAGATTAAATATACGAATTAGTTTTGTTCATGATTGCATCTACATATGATAGAAATTATACATAGCGAACTTAAATAGATATTAGAATGGAGACAACTTGTTTCAATTCATTACTAATTTCTTTTGCCATAAGAATATTTGTCTTATGTCACTGTAAATCTATTTTTAAAAACTTCTTCAAAAATCTTACACTAATAAAGTTTGTTCATGGGTATCAAGTTGTTTCAATATATCCATTTGTTTTGTTAAAAGCATGGAATCGTGTTGTTGTCTAATACTTTGAAATTGATTATATATTTCATTTCTTATATTTTTAAAAGCATCATGAATTGACACTAAGAACAAAAAAAAATACTTTCATCAAAATTTTTAAAGAAAATTTTTTTTAGAAAACCTTTTAAATCATTTTGACTTGTATTTTGTAATTCATCAAGTTTTGTTTTTGTTGATTGTCTAATCTCATTAATATGTTTTTCATTGCAATCAGTACACTTTGTGCAATTACAATGTTCACATATAGTTAATTTTTCTACTTTCTGACAACATGGACATTTTGCTTTTACAGGTTGAACATCCATTAAATTGATTAATAAAAGATTACTAGGTAATTCATCAGGACCTTGTATTAAATTCATTACTTTTCGACATGTCGGACTAAATAGTAACAAAAAAGAAATAGCTTTTTTTTAAAATTAAATACAAATGATCAAACCAAGTTAATGTTCGATGTTGAGTATTGTATGTTCCTAATAAAGAAAAAAAAATTTGATGACATAAAGAAAATCTACGATATGAAATTACTTTGTAAACATGTTAAACAAAATGTATGTTGACAAGAAAGAACTTTTGGTATTCGAAATCGATCAAGACAAATTGCACATTGTAAAAGATCTTCAAGATTTTCAATCTTGTAAACGTTTGTCATAATTTCAAAAAAATAAATAAAATAATTGATAGTGACGCTGCTATACGGTCATCAGAAGTAAACTAAACTCGATTCCATAGTCCATATTTCATCCATGTTGACTGATGATGTGAGAAGACTGTCGAAAGATGTCGTATGTGATTGAATTGATTTTCATATAATTTAACAGTTGCTATTTTCTTCGATTCGTTTCATTTTTTGCCGTTGTTCGATTAGTAAATGTTCGATTGACATTGATTACGTGTCCTGAAATCCAGAAGTTGAAGTTCAAGATAGGCAAGGGACAATGGCTCAATATTATTCGATAAATTCCCTTAAATAAGAATCTCATATTCCAAACTATAGTAGTCAAATTTTAAATGCTTCTTCGACTTTAATTGTACTCAGTATCCATTCATAAATATGTATAAAAATCTATCAAATTTGCTTTGTATTCGAAGAATTATCATTCATTTATTTCAAAAATAAAAATAAAAAATATACGTTTATTATCAAATATGATAAGGCCTTGTCTCCACTAGAAAAATAATACAGTATTAACTTCGTATTAAAATGATGCGTGTCTTCACTTAGAAAATTAATGCATCAATCAGAATCTAGAACGAAATGTCGCTTTCATTAATTCAATTGGAACACATGAACCTAATGAGACTTTGATTGGTGCATTAACTTTAATTCGCTTTCGAAAGCGCATTAAATTTAATGCGCTTTTGAAAGTGCAATAAATGCGAATTAAATTTTCTACGAATCAAGTTTCTTAATTCGGTATTAAATTTTCTAGTGGAGACAAGGTCTAAGAGAAGAACAAGATTAAACAATACTATCATTGTCACAAATTTTAGTTGCATAAGATAGTGTAAAAGAGTTCAACAATAACATTTTATTTATTGCTTTCCTATAATGTTAGGCATCTAGCGCAAATCTAGGTCGTGATTATAATAGTCAAGGGAGTTTTCTATCTAATGTATTCTAAACTAAGATTTTATAGATGTACTGTGATATTTAAGAATTTCATGTATTGTTTGTTCATTTATTCGAGATACTAATTACTGTTGGAATTCTTCATCATTCATTGACGTACGATAGACAAAATATAGTGTCATTTATGAATTATACGTTTTGCGCTCTACCTCGTTGAAGCTACCCGGATAACCAATCCAATTATTCTCATTCTACCACCAATAGCGACGCGAGCACAAAATACCGAACGTCATCTACGGAATACCAACATATACACCCTAACAACCATCACAGAACAGATGCTACTATACTTAAAGCCATCGACACATTAGAAGACCCCCATAATAGAAGACCCTCCTTGAATAAATGACGCAAAAGACATATTAGAAGACCCCCTCCCCCCTCTTAAAAAATCGATATTTTGAAACAGTTTCTGTAGTTTATTGACTTGTTTAGTATTTAAGCCTAGAATGATATCGAAATTCAGTACGAACAATATCTTGCTTCCTTTCTTATAACCAAGTGTCAGGCTCGAATGAGTAAAATCCTGAGAAGCAACTAATAGGAAACAACTGTCTATTAAAGATTGCGTTTCTTTGTAAAAATACACCATGGAGTCATTTTAGTACTCCTTTACAACTTACTTTGAATACATTATTCAGTCTCTATTCACGAAAAAACACGCTTCTATAGTCATAGGATCTAATGAACGCAGTGCTCGTTCGTGCATGTAACATGTGAAAGGATCTTTGTACAATAGTAACAGATTAGGTAAAGTGCCACTTTGTATTAATTAAAAGGTCTTTTCATCTTTGACTTTCTTCTAGAAAATCAGAAACGTTTTCACCACAAAACAGTCTTTCATAATTGAAGAAAACATAACTTCATGCACAGTCTACACAAAAAATTCTGGGACACTGAAGAATGGTTCTGCAAAATTTTATATTTCATTTGAAACAAACTTTATATATATTTTAAGTATAGTTACTGGTTACAGTTTTATATAATATTAAAACTAGAAGTTTTGTGTCTGTAGAGTAAAGTACGAAAGTTTAACCAGTAACTATGCTTAAAAAATATATATAAAGTTTATTTCAAATGAAAGATGAAATTTCGAAGAGCCATTCTTGAATGTACCAGAATTTTTTGCGTAGACTGTATAAACGTCGAGATTTGATATGTGAGTACTTTTTTTGAGTTTCAGAATGCATTTCTTTTTTCAATAAGATACAATGGCATTTTTTGAAACAGACGCAAAAGAAAAACGGTGTGCGTATTCAACTGCTGATTTTCTATAGATGGTTTCTTCATAAGACAATCGTATTCATTGAAGTTAACTTAAGATTAATAACTTTGCTAGTAGCAGAATTCACTATGAATAGATTGCATCTATACTAATCATATCTCCACATAAGCAACTGAATAAAATGAGTTCGATAAAAAAAATTAATTTTCTTTTTTTACATTTATTTAGTTATTGAGAAGGTAAAATGTTGCCAGTGATAGATGTTACCCTAGGGAAAAAAAGAACGATATGGGATATCGTGCCAAGATGTTAGGCTACATTGAGTATATTGTTCTAAGAGCACTTCTTACCAACGATGGTCTCCCTTTTTTCACAGGATGATATCTGTTTCTTTCTTATTCTACACATGTGAAATAAGTGAAGCAAACTCGTTTATCAACGATATATTGGACAAAAATCAAGTGATGCTAAGGTTTGTAGGCGGGATTGCCAAAAAATATGACTTTTTTAAGGGACATAATAGAAGACTCCCCTTTTAACTTATGAACGATAAGACAGAATAGAAGACCCCGGGTCTTCTAATGTGTCGATGGCTTTACTATGTGCCAACAACACCATTAAAACACAATTTTGCTAGCTACATAAAACCATCAGATGGCACAGGTGATTCCACTGGTGGACAAAACGATTTTCACATCTTTACGCACATTGTCTCCGACCAACAAAATCTGATAAATGTCAAAGTATTACTAATACCAATACCATCACTAAAAAAAACTTGTGCGAACATCTACATGCCATCAACACATACAGCTGGTTTAGCTGTTGAAAAAAATGATGTTCACACCTGAAAACACTCCATCTGAGACCTACACAAATTCATATACATTGTAATACTATTAATACCAACATCATCACTAAGAAAATTTGTACTAACTTCTAAATGGCATCAATCGGTGCAGCTGATTCAATTGTTGAAAAAAACTATGTTCACATCTTTAAACATCCCGTCTGAGAATCGCACAGATTCATATACATCCTATTATTACTAATACCAACGTCATCACTAAAAAAATTTGTGCTAACTTCT